GTTCGTCAGCTGGGAATAATGGTCGACATCAAAGATTAGGAAAAGGGAGGGGGGGGGGAGCAAAACTTGGGAAGGCAAGAAGAGAAAGAGAGTGAGTAATTGGTTTTTGGGGACCAACGGGGTAGAGCTCTAATTGGTAGGGCCGCCGCGAGCAAACACCAAACACAAAAGCATCATCCGGCCCGCCCCGCCAAGCCCCGCGTCCCGCGGGCCGATCGAATAAGTACTAAAAATTTCAGCGGGGCTACTTTTTTAAAGTGGCTGTCCCGGCCGGCTCGGCTGAGGAGGCCGGGGATGGTCCGGAGGAGGATGTTGGTTGGTATGGATGGCGAGGCGCGGGAAGGGGACGACGACGCCTTTCTCGCAGATCAAAGAGGGCTCGGTCCATCCGGGAGGCTGGAGCAAGGGGGGTAGCACGGGGAAGATGGAGATCTCCTCCATGGACCATCCCCCTCTACTCTTCCCATATCGCGCGCGCGCGCGCCCTTGCCCATAGCACAGGTCTTATGGCGCCTTTGCATGGCAAACTTGGTTTTCCTTCAAAGAAGAAAGCCTTTCCTGCCTTTGCTCTAGCTTCCTGCTCGCCGTCCAGGAGGGGCCGAGGTGTCGGTCGCACCGGGAGTGGACAGTGGCGCGTGGAAGTAGTAGAAAGGAGGGGGGGGGGTCAAAGGGCAGAGGAGGAAAGGGCAAAGAGCAAGGAAAATAAGCCCACCAGCAGGGACGCGCGCACGCACACGCACACAAGCACACGCCGCGCTGCTAGTTCCCGAAGCAGGCGAGGCTGGCAGCGGAGGCCGTAGAGGACCCCACGCAAGGGTGGTTAGCCGGGGCGGGGGAGCAAGGGGGTTATCCAGGGAATTAGGGGGGAAGAAAGGCCCACCTTGATATGTAGGTCGAGAGGTGGGAGATGAGCTCCAGGACGCAGCGCCCAGGCCTCTGCGGCTGCGGTTGAGGGAGAGGGGGGAGGGATAGACGGCAGCAAAACACTACACCACGGTCTACTGGTGTGATGCGCTGCGTCAAGGGCTGCCCTGGCAACCCAAGTGTGCACATGTATGCGTTTGCGTTATCTTCTAAATACCTACAAATGTTATGTAGAAGATAATGTGTACACGCCCATCTACGCAGCAGATCGAGAAGTTGCCGACTCGACTGAGCCGTGTACCCATTTTATAGCTATTAAAAAAGTATTATAGAATGGTGTATAGGTACTATGAACTATACGTATTACAGGGTATTACAGGATGGTGACACACTCCAAGTGTTCTCATCTCCATTGCTTAAAAATCAAATAAGTTGACTATACTTAAGCCCATCCATATCACAGTTGAGCCCCAGTTTCAAACATGTCGTTTCTGGTTACTTTTTAGACAGTCTCCTAATTTTAGTGTTAAAAGTGGGTTGGTATTGTGCAAATAGGTTCTTCTTTAAACAAATCACGAAAAAAAGGTCCGTAAACTTGAGGTGGTGTGGCCGGGCCCGATAGTGTATGAGCAGGTGCGCCGACTGAGGGATTAACGCACGTGGCTGGCCGCGTATTCCTGGGAAAGGAAAAACACGACGAGTCGGGGCCGGGCGTACCCAAACAAATCAAAGACCTGCACCTGTGTGACCACGTGGCAACGAGCACGCTGTACTGCTGTACTCCACACCTCAATAAGCAGCACTGGGCCAATTAAATCTGTTTGCTGCCGATTTATTTGATTTGCAAAGGAAACCCTTTCGGAAATTGCGGCCTATTATACGATAATATTATAGGTATTATAAAATATAATATAGGTATTATACAATATTCTAGGTATTACACACGGAAAAAAATAAAAATCGGTTCCGTGCTAATTGATTTAGCAGGCAAATTTGGCACCCCTGCCAAAAAAGTAGCTATATAATGAAATATTTAGCTGCACTGCTAAATAGAATTGGCGATACAGCTAGTACATTGCTTCAGTTTGCTGTACAACTAAAAGTTTAGCACTGAAGCTAAAAAAGTTCCGACCAGAAACGGATCGTGAAAGCAGATGATACCTTGTGAAGAATTATTCTATTCCAGTCTATTATATTTCCGTATTTACACTTGTGGGGAAAGGGAGGGGGTAGGTGGCGG